TGGAAAGGTTTTGCTGTAAGTTTGTGGAATTGGTCCCATTTCATAACAAAGCTCTTATCATTCCAGAGCAATTAGAGCCATCACTAAACTGCTAAGAATTTCACAGACTTCCAGATTTGAAATTTTGTTTGATGTATGAATTATGAAACTTAGAGAGCCAGAAAATAATGCAGGCTCGTGCTAACGTGGAATAAGTTAGGAGGAAAAACCCTAGTTTTTTGTAAGAATGTTGTTGACAAATCATTAGTTTGGGCTTCAAAAGATGCTGAGATTAAAAGTGAAAATTTTTTAGATGTTTCATATAGAAAAAATAAAATAAATCATAAATAGATTTGTCATAAATCATATATAGCCTGAATCAAAAATGGACAAATGTCAGGAGTTTGCAGCTGCGATATGGGGATTTTATTTATCATCAAAAGGAGAAAGAACTCCTTCATGCTGAGATCAGAACTGGGCTAACTACACCATTTCCTCGTCCAGCCATCATTAGGGTGTTCCAGCTGCTGGGAGCAATGATTTATTCCATTACATTACCTAAACTGTGGTAGGGCATATGGATCATCATAGTGCCAGGCCACATAGTTTCTTTGTTCTGGATTCGTACAGCATCAGGCACAAAGGCATTCTTGCCCAGATATTGCAAAGACAGTGGTGGTGATGATAAAGAAAACGATCAAGGCAAAGTTTGTAGGGAGAGATGATATTTTTTATTAAACTTACTGATATATTTGAGAAGAGTAGACAGCTTTCAGTGATGCAAGCCTCTCCTGAGGTCTGGAATAGAAACATCAGACTTCAAAGCTATATACAGATTGAGAACAATTTCTCAAAACTTAAGTAGATATGTATCAGATCATCTGCAAAATAAAATGTAGTTGGTATTTATGGGATAAGGGGGCTGTTAGTTGCATAGAGAAAAGGGTGATAAGTTCGCCAACCTTTGGGGCAAAGAGGGAGAAAGCAAGTTATTTCTAAAATATATATATACACACATATATAGAAAATACATACAATATATATGAGTGGCATATATTAAAAGAAAGATTTCTATGTCATATTATGTTATATAGTTATGAGTCTCTTACGTATAAATATATATATCTATATAATGTATCTATAGTAATAAGAAACTTATTGATCTCTTGATCTATCTTATATCATCATCACTGGTTAGGTTTCCAAGTTGCTGGAAAACCAAAATATGCCCAATAGTAATGAAAATGATCAGTGCTTCATTATTTGTTATTTAATAATGGCATTGTCATCCGAGACAACGTGAGCTCCGTGCGCTGCCATCGGTCCGCCGACGTCAACAGAGCTGCGCTAACGAAACGTTCAGCCGGACTGAATGTGAGCAGAGGGTGTCCCCTAACTCAGCACAACTTCATAAGCAGATGAAGTTACATGTCCCGGGGCTCTGCAGAATCTGACGTGGCAACCCAGCTGTCCCGGCACTCTGACGTAGCCTACATACAGTCTTTTGGCTAAGCCAACGCTCATCTTCCAACCCAGCTTCTTGATGTGTGGGCTGTGACGGGTTGTGACTTGGCTAGATGATCTCCATGTGCCTGGAGGCATCTAGGGGTAAGGACTTTCTTACTGTGATGTGTCGATGCACCACCAAGCCCAGGGTAGGAGGGAGCAGGATGCTGGTCTTCGCCTGGGGTTTCCTGCAGCTCCCGCAACCCAAAAGCGGCACACAGATCCCCATGGACACTGTGTGTGCAGAACGGCAGGCTTTGCTGAACATGGTGTAATTTTCTGACTGATGAGGGAGGGGATGGAAGGCAAGAGCAGGCCTAAAAAGAAAAGAAACTCAGCCCCCCCCCTCCCCACGCATGTTCAGAGACACGCACACAGGCAGGCTGAGGACAGTGGTTACATCATGGAGAGGTGGAGTTAGAGATGAGAGTGGGTGTGTCCATGTGTGCATGTGCTGGGGGCACAGGCAGGGAGCGAAGCAACCGCCTGGAGAAGGTGACTGGGGGAGGAGAGGGGAGAGGACGACAATTGGTACCAGATGCCCTCAGAAGCTAATGACCTGACAAACGCTGCACTCGTAAAACAAATTCTTTAAAAAGGAAGCAAATGGAAATATAAGCTAGTGAAAGAATTTGCAGCAGCTGCCCTGAAACCATTTCTCACTTCATAAACAGGTCTGCACTGAAAAAACAGACTTTTTTTAATTTCTTGTTCTCCTTTGTGGTCCCTTCCCGTGCCATTCCTCCCCTCAGCCTGTGCCCACAGGGCATTGTAGAGCCATGGACGGGACTGTGCCCTGTAGGTTTCCACTGTGACTGTCTCAACAGGCTTGTCCAGAGTTAACAGCACCTTGCGTTCACTGATCTTCCGTGTCGGCACCAATTTTGGGTCTTCTGTAGGATTTTTACCTGTGCATCCTTGGCTGGAGAAATTGAGTGAACGGTGGCAGCGCAGCCTCTGCCTCCCGTGGGCCGAACATAGCGCACAAAATTGTCAGCAGTTGCGTGTGGAGCAGGGTAGGCCAAGGAGCAGAAAGGGGGGCGTTCAGGTGTGCCTCCCTTTCTACTCTCCCCGGTTACTGCGTGAAACTGTGTGGAAGATTCAGTCAGCAGCACCTCTGCTTAGGAGGGGCTGCTGTCAATTCTGGTGCTAGGACATGTAAAAAGCGGGTCCTGACCACCAAATAGCCAGAGTGTTTTCTTGTGGGAGCTGTTCTGTTAGCCCTGTGTCTTGGCCTAATTCCATCCTAGGTAATTAATCTGCTGGCTGTACTTCATTCACTGATGGAGAACTTAGCCCCCTGGCCAGAAGTGCCCTCCACTATGGGATTGTTTGTGATGCTTAATTAATCAGTACCAAATGGCTGCTCCTTGGCAGGAAGCTGCTGTAGCAAGGAGGGGGGTGTTTATTCCCTGGGGACAGGTGACACATGGCAAGCTATCCCTGGCCCCCTTGGTAACTTGCAGAGGTTCCCAGGGGAGCATATTCTTCCTTTTAGCTGTATCTCACCTAGGGAACTACAGCTGAGCCCATAGAGCTGGACAAATATATTTTGAAAGATGATATTTGCCCCAAAGAGCTTGGCATCAAAATCCACAAGGTGAGTAGGCTTGAAATGATGCATGGGACTGAGGGAAGGAGCAGGGCCCCTGAAGAACAGGGCAGAGCATCAAAGCAGAGAGGGAAGGAGCAGCAAGAAGGTGACCAGTGCAGGGTGGAGGGGAGAGCTGGAGCATTCCTCTTTCCTCTGCCACCACAGACGCTCTGCTGTGACTGCACGTAGCTTGGAGGATTGCATGCATGTCCTCAAAGAGGCAACAGGATGCTCCAGGGGTGGAGTGCGAGCCTCAGGAAACCTAGGAGAGACTCTGGGACCATGAGGGAGATCTTTGTGTGCCCAGCAGTTTGAGCAGGCTCAGTTAGCAAGTGGTTTTGTGAGATGAGGAACCAGTGGCAGTACATCCACAGTCACGTGCAGTTGCTTCTTATGGATGATTCTCTAGTATCTGAATTGGTTCTTACTCTGACTGAACCCTTTCTTGCAGTTGGAGCATCATAGGGACACTAGCTGATATGGATTCTCTGAAGGCTAATACAGGGTTTAACATACCCGTCAGCCCTTCTATCAGCAGTGACTTTAAAAAAAACCTCTTTTTCTTTTCTTCCTGGCCATCTGTTGTTACAAACCTTGTCAGAACATAATAGCACTGGAAGCTCTTATCCCATGCTATGGTTGATTGAAGTTGAGGTGTGGATGCAAAAGTTACCGGAAAGGAGAAACGCCCAGTGTTATTGCCTGAGCTTTGTTGCCTTAGGAAAATGCAGACCTCCTGCTTTCCATTATCTGTCCTGTGCACACTAGCATATCTGAGAGACGTGTGCAAGAGCAGAGTACGCACGTGAAGACAAGTGAGTGGCTGCAATCGTGTGAGTGCTCTCAAACTGTGTACTCCCTTTGGCACTGAAGAGTTCACTTTCAGGAGGTCTCTTTTGCCACAAATTCTCTGGTGTCCAGCGTGATTTCAGCATGTTTGAGATCTTCCCTCTGTTGGACAGAAAATAGACAGCACCCGTAAAGTCTCTTTCCTCTCTCCAGCTATGCATTTTCATCCTGGCTACTAAATGTGACTGACACCTGATAACATGTTCAGAAGTTGTTATTAGGGGACAACCACACACATCCATGCACAGCTCATAAACTCACATTCCTCCCTATGCGTAATGAATACACACTCACCCTTACACACGCACGTGAACACTTAGGCACAGTGTGACTGCACAAATGAAACCAAAAGTTGCAGTACAACTTCACAGCCAGTATATATTCACACAGACTTCAGAGGATGAGCACTGGATCTGAAAACCTGGTCTCATCACTTTTCTTAGGGAGAAGTTCTTAGAAATTGTCACGTGTAGAAAAGTGTAGGGACCATCTTCCTGCCAGAGATGCTGTAGCTCTTTCAGGAAGGTGATACGATGAATGTTGTTTATAGTTTCTGTTGTCTGTTGTCCTTTCTGGATAGGCAAACCAACCTGTCTTCTCCCCCTGACTTCCCTCCCCTCAGTCCACCTACACTGTGCATCACAAGGTCCTTTTGTGCCAGGTGCTGTACAGGCTCTGTGAAATACAGCCCGTGCCCCCCGAAGAAAAAGGAGCTTGAGTAGCCACACCAGACAGCTCCCTCATTCAGCTGGGAAGAGAGCCTAGATTTTTGAAGGAGTGCTCTTAGACCGTGTTTCTTTCCATCTGCTTGGAAGGGCAGCATCATGGTGTGTGGGAAGGTGTGTGCTGGGGTTGGGCAGAGATCCAGCCGAGACAGAGCTGGGAAAAATTACCCTCAAGGCATCATCTTCAGGAGATTTTCAAGCCTAGGACTGAGGCATAGGTATGCATCGCTCTGTGTGCATCGGCAAGCCTCTGAGCATCCCAAGCAGATTCCACCTGAATGGAGTCTCTCCTTACTGCAGAAGCACTGGGACTGCTTTGCTGAGCCCTTCTCTTTCCTCTTCCACAGCTGTGCCCACCATACCTGTGCGGAACCAGGAAGCTGCACACGCCCAGTGCTTGTTCACGCTGCCACCCTGAACTGCACCCCCAGTGGTCCAAGGGATATGGAGTGCATTGTTTCCTGTGAAAAGGGATTCATCCTCCACTCTAGCAATGGGAAGAGCCTGGGCTCCATGCAGGTGAGTGGACAGCAGGGTAGAGATCACCTCATGACCCACTGGACAGACTGTTAGTCAAGAAAGACTTCAACACCTTGAGGTGGTTGGGAATGACCCCAGGACACCATGTAATTGCAACCCCTGGGCTCCTCACAGCTTGGCCAACCAACCTGAGTCCAACTGACCCTCTGGTGCTGGACCTCAGTGCTGATGGCTGGTGCTCCTGGGGATCCCTCTCCAGTCTCCGCTGTAGTCCTTGTAGCTCCCACAGCCAGTGCTGCACACAGACTGCAGGTCTGCCAGGCTAAAAGGAGCTGTATGTGACATCCTAGGCCAGATGGTGACACGCTGAATCTGTTTCTGCAGAGGGAGGCAGAGGTAGACACTTTCTGTTCTCTGCATGGGCATTGCTGGGAGAGTTAAATATCCCTGGGACGTTTTCTCTCTTAAAGTTGAAGTTAGTGGCTCGGGAAAAAATGAAGTCATTTTAGAGTGACTATATTTAGAGGGCTATAGATGAGGAGACAGCCGACAGGGCCGGGAGCTTTTCTTCCTTTGTATCGTGTTGCAATTAATGCTGCCCAAGCCAGCAGGGCAGCACAGAGGTCAGCATTAAAGAGTTCAGCCCGCTTTCTAGTGGGCCAGGGGCTGCCTCGTAAAAGCCACAGCCAGCTCCACACTTAGACATTGACTGAGGAGACCTGGGACTGACAGGTTCTTGGGAGCTGAACTACCTCAGATCTAGGTAGTCACCTTGGCAGGGTTATGGGCACAGTTTGTCCCGTCCTTACTCTGTTCCTGGAAAGAGAACGTAAGCCTCCAGGACTGAGTTGGCCCCGCAAACCAGCGCAAATGAGAGGGTGTAAAATCACATGAGGTGGAGACAGATGGAGGTGAGTCAGGCGATGTAAGCAGGTTGGGCTTTTTTTCCCTCCAGAGGGTTGACAGAGTTCATATCTGGCAGACACGTTTCTTGTGCTACAGCAGTCAGTGTTTACCAAGGGACGAGGTGGGCATTGGAAAGTGAGGCATGACAGAGTGCAAAGGGGCAACTTGAGATGCCCCGCTTGTCCCCCATGTCTTCTGGAAGGTTATTAATTACAGGACCATACAGTTCTGTGGGCCAAGGCAGGCCCTTAACACACGCTGGTGTGTTCACAAGGGAAATAAAATGTTCCCGTTCTCCTCTAACATGAAACCACACTAAATAAATCTGCTATGGGTGACATTTTTTTGGTATTTGGCAGAGAAATGGGAAACTTCTTGACAGAACTTAGCCTTGTGGTTGTCACGAGAGAGAGAGCAGCTTACAGGTGCCCTGCCTTGAGCCCTGAAGTGATATTACCTCTGCTTTCCTACCTATACAGAGGGCAAGAGGGGACAGCACGAGGACTGTGATAATGGACAAATCTTTGGTGGGACGTAGTAACACACAAACTTTTATCTGATGAGTGCTGCTAGGAGAAAAGAGGTGCCCTATTTTGCTTGTCTGTGGAGAGGATGGAGTAGAGTGTGGTGCAGCCATCCACTTTGTCTCGGGGCCCATGGCTCAGCACGTTTTCTCAGTCTCTAATAGTATATCTCACCTCAGGGCATTCTGGGAGAAAACGCACAGCTCTTCTCTGGGCATCCTCTCCACATGGTAGGGGACTCTGGATTTGTTTTTTTTCCTGGGGAACCCTGCAGATGTGTCTGTCCTCCACCCAGCAGTACTAAGGGAAGAGCATTACCAAAGTGGTTCAGTTACATGATCCTGCCATGTGCTGGACAGTACCAGGCTCAAATTTAATAATGCCCTTTAGAGCCACCACATCCAGGCCTATCTCTTCATTTGAAATGTATTGGCTGGGAGGACAAATCACAAATCTGACTATATAAGCAACCTGATGGTACTCAACCAAAAAATAGACATCAGGAATAGTTGAATGAAACCTGTTTGTACTGCAAGCCCTGTCTGAGAACTGCTGGGGTAACGTTAGATGATCTGAGAATGGAAATCGTGGCACACCATTCTACACTGCTTTGTTTTGATCAACTGCATAGCGCATACTGGTTGTGTTTAGGACTGGGACCACTGGCGCTCTGGAGTCAGATTGTCATGTGGTTCCCCAGCTGTGTAAGAAGGGCTGCATAATGATAAGTTAGGAATGAAGTTATATGAACCTCTGATTTCAGTGGGGTCTATGGGCGGAGGCGTGATAGAATCAGTGCGTTTAGGGGAAACCAGTTAACAGGAGAGCTGCCCCACCAATTTTTGAAGTAAGACTTGATCTTGTAGGGGAGAAAATTGCAGTGCACAGAGCTGGGAATAACGTGCAGCTCAGGAAATTGTTGTCTATCTTGAAGGTTTTTTTTTTTCTTGACGTGCTCTGGTATTGCTTAGACAGTGTGTATTCAGCTAGCGTTCTGGGGGGGTCAGCCAGTTAGAGACCAGCTATTACAAGGTCTGTAATATAAATGGCTTGCACGTTATCTCAAAGACCAGTCACTACTTCCAAACATTGCATCATGAACAAGTAGGTGATTTGCACTGTACCACCCTGGGCTCCAACTCAGTGTCCAGAGGGGAGTATAGTAATTGGAAGAGAAAAAATGGGGAAGAGCATTTCTTGTCCCTGAAACTTGGGCCAGCCCTTTTTGCTGTGGTGATAAAACAGCAGGCTAAAGCTCAGTGACAGGAGTCCAATGGAGCCTTGCTTTCTCTGCAGAAGGAGGTGGTGCTGACATGCAGCTCAGGGCAGTGGGACAGATCTGTGACTTGTGACCCTGTTGATTGCGGCGTCCCTGACCAGTCACACGTGTACTACGCTGAGTTCTCATGCCCGAAGGGGACCACGTACCTGAAGAGATGTTCCTTCTCCTGCATCCGGCCTGCTAAGCTTCAAGGTACAGTCTTGGGTCCTGAGTCATTTAACTCCTCTGCCCCCTTTTAGTGCCACCTTTTTGTGCCTGTCCCAAGTTGTTCCAAACTGAGCAGTGCTACTTTGGATTTTGCTGTTATCCTGGCTTGTGAAATGATGGGCATCCTTCATCCTTGAGTGGGAATGCTATAGTGTGGGGATACCTTGTGACTCCCCATCCGCCAGCTGGCAGCTCATATCCATCCACCTCAGGATGTAGGGATGTCTTCTGATAACTGGTGAGGTCCTGGAAGGCTCTGGCATTACAGAGATGAGGAAAGCACGCAGTGTGCAGGCAGCCAGCAAAGACAAATAGAAAGGACTTCAGAAAGCCAAAAATGGCACGTTGCCTAGTGGCTATGTGAAAGTATGTGATTGAGGAGACCTGGGGCCTTACAAAGCCATAGACACTGATGCCCACAGCTGCAGAGCAGTTTCAGAGATGTGCACCACCCAGACACACAGCAGTCCTCCAGACACGCCATGGCCTGGCTTTCATTCTGCCGACTCCATCAATAGCCGCAGGAATGTTTTTAAGCCAAGTCAGAGAAAGAGAGCTACTGTTCCTGTCTATTCAAGGCTGAGCTGGATGGGATTTCGGGGGTAATTGCCTTGACAGCTTCAAGCATTGGGACTTTATGTGAGTTTCCACCAGCGCGTTTGCTCTGAACAATCACATACAACAAATCATTTTAATGGGTGCCCTATTTTATGGAGACATTTATAGCTGAAAAGTATGAAAATCATTTACTTCTTTTTTTTGGGTTAAATCTAAGGAGTAAAAACTGCAGGGAATTAAGGTCTCATTTCATGACAGGGGGGATGCCGGCTGATCCCAGTGTGAGCTGATCAAAGCATAGTGTGTGAACTACAACTCGACAGGCCAAATTCTGTACAAACCAATGCCATTGCCTTTGGTGGGTCAGCTGAGGGCAGGGTTTTAATCTGATATTTCACTAACAGCCTCCTCTTGTTCCCACTGAAGTCAACGGGAGATTTGCCATTGGCTTCCTTGGCGGGAAGGCAGGCCCATCCATAGAGCACTTTGGGTGACTTCCAGCAGCTGACACAACTCCTGGTGGTGTTAAGCCAAGGCTGTTGAGTCGTGCGGGTAAATTCAGAGAAGCCCAATTGATTCCGCTAAACTGTCGAGGCAGGAACGTGTCTGCTTCTTGTTCTCCCCAAAGGCTTGCATCCTTACGGGCAGTCTGTCAATGCTAATAAATACTAAGAATAGACAAGGAAAAGATTACACGAGCCATGCGGCTTCTGTCGCGGAGCTTGGAGGTGGGAGGAACGCGTACGCCTGATCCTTGGGAGCACAGGCCCGCTGGGAACGCAAGCCCTGAGTGGAGGCACTTTCTGAGGCTGCCAGTCTCTTGGCCTTTTCCAAGAGTAGTTGTAGACAGAGCACTGATCCTATAAAAAGAAAGTGATGCTTGAAGGGAGTGTGGAGAAATCTAGTCGTACAGAGAACCTGCTCTAGAGGCCTAATCCAAATCTTTCAATAGAAAGACTCCCGTTCTCTTCAGTCCAGCTTTTTTTTTTTTTCTTGCTCAGCAGTTCCCAGTGAAATGGCTCTGACCTGGACTCAGATCTACAACGCAGAGGTGATACAGTCCCAGATGCCTGTCACAGGCTCCAAGTGCTGTGCAATTTAGGCCACCTGTTAGCCAGGCCTACCAGCCCATCTGGTTTCTAGATAGACATTGAAGAGGGGGTCCTTTTGAAACAGGCAGTTTGAGTTCCCCATCACACCAGTTAAGACTTATCTATCCATTCTGCTGGCGCCTTCTATCTTGCACTGTATGTGTAGCACAGGAGTATGACATCTTGTAAGGGTACTGGCCAAGCTGCAAAAACTACCTGGAGAAAAGGTACGTGACCTGAACTACAAGCCCTGAACTACATGCAGCAGATAGCTGTCGTACATAAAAGCCTACCAAAGGCTCTTCTGAGGTGTCATTGGAGAGGGGAATTTTAAGGGAGAGATTTGGGGAGATTTGCAGGATCAGAATCTTTTCTCCATCCCCTAAAAGTAATCCCTTTCCCCCTCCTGTCTGTGTTCAAGGGATACAGTTTCTGTCCCAGACTGACCAACCATACAATGAGGTCCTTGGTTTTCATATTTATTGCCTTTTTTGGCATCAATATCCAGTCTCAAGAAGAGGTGGGGTTGCTGGTTCCTTTGAGCTTCACTCACTTCCAGGGGTCCAGCCCTGGCAATGCTGTAGCCTGAACATGCTGCTTCTCTCTTGGAGTTAGGAATGAGCCAGTGGTTGACCTGCCTTGAGGATGGACTCTGGTCACTCCCTGAAGCCTACTGCAAGCTGGAATGTGATGCTCCTCATGCGGTGGCCAATGCCAAGCTACTGGTCCCTCGGTGCCTGCAGGGGAACCATGATGTGGGCTCAGTATGTCGCTATAAGTGTAAACCTGGATACCACGTGGCAGAGAACGCAGTGGGCAAGCCTAAGAAGTAAGTCTGTGATGTGTCTTTTTCCTCTGTTCTGCCACGTTTCCTTCCTCCTTTTCTAATGCTAGTAAGGTTATTGAAAGGAGAAGAGGTCACTGTATTTTGGCAGCCTTGCAGAGCTGATTTGGCTGATGGAGTAGGTAGAAGGCAGAGCAGCTTGCTCTGGTCAGGCACACACCATTGCTTGAAATATGAGAGGTATTCCCCTAGTTTAGGCCAAAGCAGGTGGGAACAAGATGTAAGCTGCCATTGTGCACACATGTACTTTAAGTGCCTTAACCTGAAGCGTGTGAGTTTTGTCCTGCACAGCTCACTTTTCACTTGCTGAAAGTTAAGCACGTATGTGGAAGCATTTGTAAGCTCTCAGGACTTCAACTGGTAATTAGATAATGATGTAATAAGATGCTGGAAGACTCCTGGAGTTGCTGTCTTTCGTATAAGTGATAAAACACAGATCATGAGACTGAGGGTTATGAGAACAAATGGCAATATTCTGTAACAGTTAACATTTTACCCCCTGTATGTCTTGGCTAAATTTAATCTCAAGCATTTATATTTCAATTGGAGAAGATTTTCCCAATGCTTCTGTGAAAAATTCCTAGTGATTCACTAGCACTGTGCTCAGCCAATGTCATAACATTGAGGGTAAAGCAGTATTTTGTGCGTGACACATCCAGCTGAAGTCCTCGTTGGGTATGGTCACCAAAGATTCCATGGCACTGGCAGGGTCCTCCCCAAAGTCTTGACCCTAGCCCAAACCAGATAATTGTGCGCTAATTGTTTAATACCCTTGTCCAGTTTTAATTGGATGCAGGCTTCATCTCTGCTTTCCTGTGGGGTAGGGTTGTTGTGCACTAGGAAACGATTGCCAAATTTCTTGCCTAGTAATGAAGGAAGTGGTTTCTGCAAACAGCTTTTCACAGTGTTAGGATTTCTTGGGCCAAGGAGAGCTGGGCAAATTATGATTATGGGTATGATCACATGGATTGCTTTGCAAACCATGAAGCATTTTGCATGCCTGTGGCATTCAGGCACTGGACATGCAATCAGATCGACACAGCTTGCCAAGTTAGACCATCTCAGCCATGCTGCAGCAACTGCTGGTAAAAAGGATGCCCTCTGGGAGTTCCCGAGGTTCTTCTGATGCATATGTAACTTCTGTGTAGGTCTGAATAGCCTGTAAGATAAGCCAAGGAAAATCCTGCAAAATGGTCCTATTTTCAGGTTTGCTGTTATCAGTACTACTTACTATCTAACATCTTTGAATGGTAGATTATGATCCTATTGCATTAAACAACAAACATTCACAGAAACAGAATATTCATCCCTTTCTTATCATGAGCAAGATTCAAAGCAGGAGTCTGTTATCCAGGACTGTTTCTGGAGAAAGAGAGTCTTTGGAGATGGTGATGGAGAGCTCTGGAAGAGGCTGGCACTGGTAGGGTGCAGGTTCCTTATATGCTCATGAGGGATCAGGGTCTCAGTTTATGACTCAGCCATCAGGTTTTGGGGGGTCTTGAAGTCTCTCTGGGTTCTTTCTGGGTTCACCAAACTGGGTTCAGGAGATATTATCTCACCATCATCCATCAACCCAGAAAGCACCAGTCTTGTTGAAGGATTTAGTGCTGTGCAGGTGCTGATAAGCACATGAAAGCAAGACTCTCTATGCCATTTAGCTACTGGAAAAAAATCAGAAGTGATCCATGGCTAACACCCAAGACTTACCATGACAGCTAAATGACCCAACAAGGAGTATATAGCCATGAATATATGGCTCTAGCAGTCGTGCCTTGCTTAGAGAGTGAAAAGGGAGGGAGTGTAACTCCCAGCCTGCCTTGCCAACAGCTATGGGGCTCAGACCATTCTCCTGGGAAGGTAGAGAGGGAGGTTTGAGCACCTTCAGGCTCCAGAGGGCCTAGGAATCACCCACACTGCTATTATGTGAAAGATACGCTCCTCTTTCTGTGGCACTGTTTTAAGAGGCCTGAGCATGATCATTTCCTTCAAGGACTGCCTGTAGGCACCTTCCTTCAGGGATGGACTCCAGATCCCCTGTGGACTGGGACAGTTAAGCTACAATGTGAGCAGGAACTCAAATCCCAACCCCAGGGCTCAGCATTATCTCTTGACTAGCTGCTTTTTGGGTCAGCCTTCACAGAATCACAGAACGATTGAGGTTGGAAGGGACCTCTGGAGATCATCTAGTCCAACCGCCCTGGTCAAGCAGGGTCCTCTAGAGCACGTTGCCCAGGATTGCGTCCAGGTGGGTTTTGAATATCTCCGGTGAAGGAGACTCCACAACCTCTCTGGGCAACCTTTTCTTCTTCAGTGTCTTTCTCTCTCACACACCCTATAAAACATCATGGCTGCTACATCTGGATCCACGCCATGGGAATTCATTCCTAAAATGGTAGTGCTACAGTGTCCACATTGTACAAGCTTGGACCTTGGCTGGCATCCAGCTGTCACTGTCCAAACCAAGGTGCTCTTGGACATTGATGTTCATGCAATTCCCACACTTCTGCTTTGTTGGTTGAATTTTGCTGCAGGGGCAGGCCCTTACTCAAGGACTCATTCTGCACCATGTACACTATTTTTTCTTCTAATATCCTGGTTGCACCCCTGCATTTCCTAGGGACTCTGTTTCTCCGGTTGCTAACCTCAAGGTGGAAAGAAATGGATCCCAGCAAATGATGGTGCCTGTGCAGTTGCAGTGTGCAGCACAGCAAAGTGATCCATGCACAGCTGAAATGCTTCCTTTTTTTTTTTTTTTTTTCCTCCCAAATTTTGTGTCCCAGTCTGGAGGTTTTAAAAGCCCCTGCAACCTTTGTTGAAGTACATTTCCCATATGTGGAAGGGAAGGAGGATGAAGAGAGTGTATTCTCATTGTCTCAGAGAATACACTTTTATCTGTTATCCTGGGTGAGGAGAGGCCCTTCAGAAATCACTGCTCATCAACAAGGGATTCCTGAGGAGATAGTGATTGTGTAATCAAGATCGTGGCAAAGATTTGTTGCTTTTCTGCTGGCACGGATCATCTGACTGAGGATGCTGGTGGAAAGGGTAGTAGATTTGACTCTTTCTAAAGAAAATCTGTTTTCAGCCAGAAGAGCCCAAGTAACAGCCTGGTTTCCAGCTCCTGAGCTGTGCCAGTCCAAATCCCAAAATAACAGCGGCAAGACGAACTTTACGTATGCGCTCATGCTTTGTGATAGGCAGTAGTTTGTCTGCGTCACTCTTGGCAGTGATGGGAGGGTGCATAGGGAACAGTCACAGGATAGACTAGGTCCTTGTGCTGATATGGACTGGATGAATTCCTTGCAGATTGGGGGCAGGGGGCGAGCTGGAAGTCAGGCTCTGAACAGACATCTGGGAGATTTAGCAGACCCAGGAGGGTCAGTTTATGTTAGCTGGAGAAATAATTGAGCTTTTATTAGGAAACAAGACCAACTTTGAAAGGTTTCCCATTTTCTTGGGTCAAAACTGTTCCTAAAAGGACACGCTCTTTCAGAAACCTGTTCAGTGACCCCAGGCCAGCCTCAGCTCCCTGCCAAAAGCCTACTTTAATGGAAGAAACCACACACAAGGTTGAAATCGCTCAGAATTATAGATGCCATGAACCAAAAGGATCTCCTGATCCAACCCATGCCTAGCGATCTCTGTGAGATACAGAATCTGCTCTGTAGTTGCCTCTCCACGCATGGCCAGGGCCTAGGGAAGATCCATCAGGCTTCCAGGGCCTCTCTTCTAGGATAACCTCTGTCCAATGACAGCACCACCCCACTCACCTGGATCACAAAGAGCAATGAGCCGCCAAGGAGCTATGCTCAGCGTTGGCCAGGGCTGCAGCATCAAAAATAGCCAGTCTGCAAGTCAAAGGTCAAGCGCTTCAAGGAAAATGGACTTCCCTTCGAGTGGTCCTTAATTTTGCGTCTACCACAAAGTGCTGTAGGAAGCAGCTCTTCAACAAGAATATCTAGGACATCCTTTCTGAGGGCATCCTTTGAGGAGGGGTACTCTGATGCTGGGGTGATGCTCTGAGTGCAGGGACTGAAAAGGCCAGACCTGGGACAGGTCACATCTGCCATTGTTTCATTTGCCCAATGCAGCATGGATTCCTTGGATTTGAGAGATTTGAAAAATTCTAAGCTGCCTTTGTGAGGAGTCAAGTCCTTTCTGCTAGCTTGAGGGAATTAAATAAATGAGAATCGGGCATTCCGTTCTTTTCAGGCAGCTTTGCATGTCTCAGCCTACATTCTACATTCTGTCTCTTGTCCTCCTTCCTTCTTCCCTCATCATTACCCCTTTCCTGGGATTAGCCCTTTATGTCCAAGAAGGCAGATCTGAGAGGCTGGCAAGACTGAATAGGAGACATATTGGTGGGACCAAGGAATAACTAGTACCTTGGCCCTTCACCAGAGATCAAGGGAGCTATGAGACAGCCCAGCCAATCCAGTCCTTGGTGAACTTTCATGGAGGTGTCAGCCCCTCCACTCTCTCTCCCCATTCAAAGACTGCGTGGCCGGACAGCAACCATGAAAGAGGAAGAGAAGGCGGGGGAATGTGGAGGAGAAAATGAACTGGAATGAGTTAGCAGACTGAGGCCTGGAAGCACTTCAGAAAGATCATAGTGGGCAAAGCAGGACAGACTAACCCAAGAGCATCAGAGTTTAGCAGGGCACTGGGCCATTGTATATTTGTGGTGCGTGCATAGGTATGGGGCTCTCACTTCTAGTGCCCACATTTGCCTCCTTCCAGATAAAAGGCAAACACACATGCAGCTTATGGAGCCATAAAGCCAGGCAAAGAAAACACAGGCCGTTAAATGGACTCTCATGTCATTCCCACCTCTAAGGCCCCAATGAAGATTTACAGCCCAGGTTGCCTAGGATGTTTGGAGAGAGGGGAGGAAAGAAGCAGAAGTCCTACAAGCTAGCGTTGCTTTCTTTTAATTTACCAGCAAAGCCCCTCTGCTTCTCCCCTGTTCTATGTCAAGCCGTCAATCTCCTACCATGGGGAGATGAGGTGGACTTTGGAGTGATTTATCACCATTCCTGTACACTGCACCCAGTACTCCAAAATCTGACCACTCCAATACGCCACTGGATCCTGGCCAAACTTCTGCATGCACAGCTCCTGGAGCTCGACTAACACTCATGCCTTCACGTCAAAGACAGCCCTCTTTGGCCTCAGTCGTCTCCCCTGCCTCCTTTACCCATTAGACGTTAGATTGCCCAGTTGGAGGAGGAATCTTTGACTCTGATTTTCCTGGCTTCCTTGTTAATCCTCAAGAAATGCTGCTAACCCAGATCAGAAGAAGTTGGGGGGTCTGGAAATTTCAAGCTGCTACAAGGTATTTTTTTAAAGCCTCTCCCTTCCCTTCTGCATGCCTTAATATAAACTGCCCACTTCATATGTACAGCAGTGCTCCACATACCACCTTCTACCCAGGGGTCAGGCCAGGACAGCCACGTTTGGAAGTTCCCTAGCATGGACACTAGTGGTGGAGTGAGCCTCCAGAGCAAGCTGAGTTGTTATTTCAGCTCTGAAGGTTGTGCAGTGGTGTAGTGGGACAGGGAGAGAGAGGGAAAGGTGGGCAAGCATGAACAGAGAGGTTGGCAAGGGAACTCAGCTGTGCCAACCTCCTTCCTCTTCCTGGACTATTCTACCACTCCTGAAGATGGTCCATGACAGGTCCCTTCTCCTCTGCTCTACCTGGTTTAGTCAACCAGGGCAACAGACAGATCACTTCCTGTGGGGAGGCAGTGCATGGTGCACCAGGAGCCCATGCTGGAGCCATTCCAACACCACATCAGGGCAAGGAGTCCCAGCGAAGGTGACAGGGCTGCAAACCACAGCATGCACCTGTGCAAATGGGAAGTTCCTGAGATGTGGCCCTCCCCATGCTCAGCCTCTCTTCCCAGGCCTTTGCATGGCTTTACGTAAAGGCCCTCCACTGCAGTTTGGAAGAGCAACAGTGACGTACAGTGGCTGGATCAGTTATACCCAGGTGGCTAGTGAGCGAGTGAGAACTAGTACGTATCTAGGAGGGTCCTGTTTTCTAAAGGTTTTGCTCTGTGCCTGAGGCCTTACCTGTAGCAGTGAGGCTTCATACCACCACTTTGTATCACCATAGTGGCATCAGCTTAACCTCCAATATCACTGTGATATGGCAGGGTAAGAAAGGGCCTGCTCTGCTCTGATAAACCCTGCGTAACTCATGCAGCTAAATTACACCTTGCATGTCAGACAATTCAGTAAGGGGAAACAGATTTGCTGCGTGAGGACCTGGACCTTCATTGCAGATCAGTGCCTCCTAGTGTGTGCCTTTGCTTGCCTTTAAGTAAATGGAAGAGTGGGCAGAGCAAAACATTCAAACTAGCCCAGGAAAAGGCAAGAACTCGTGGGGGAAGTCTTTGAAAGGCAGTGAACATCATTCCAGCGGAAAGGGCGGGCAGCCAAGAAAATGAAATTAGCGGTGTACTGAAGCCACAGACGTCCACAATGGGATCGAGAATTGTTTCTCCCCACACTGCCCTTCCACACAAGTCTTATGTTGTTTCAGCTCCCATCTGTCAGTTCAAGCCTACTACTAGCCGAATGACTTCCTAGCATCGTTTGCTGCTGAGAGGCTCACTCTGTGATCTAGTCATCAGCAGCGTGGTGCCATATTGAGGGACTTGTAAGTCCCATCACCTTCCTGTGCCTACCTCCCACCCTCCACGTTATCTATTTGAAGCCTATGTTCATCAGAGCAGGAACCTTCTGTTACTCTTATAAGGTCCCTAGCAAAACAGATCCCTGATTTCTGAAGTGAGAAAGGAGGAGCCCAACAAGCTATGAATATTTGAAATGATAAGAACGTTTCTAAGCTCCCAAATTTCCTTTCCAGAATTTCCCAAGCAGAAATGTATTTGCCCACTTTGGGATGAATCAGACATACTGTGTCGGGCTAGAGCGCCTGTCTGCCTATAATATGTTCCTGTCTAGGATGTTTGGACATTCATCCTAACGTCCACAAGATCCTCCAGCCTGCTGAGGTGACTGAATATCTGGGCAAGCAGAGAAGGTCTTTGAAAGTTGCTTGGATAGACTGGAAAACAGCCAGTTCTCCAGCTGCAGTGTCCACCCCTGCAGCTAACTCTTTCTCTCGGGCTTGGTCGGCAGGTCAGCCCACATCCTCTCCCAGGGCACTGCCAGCACTCAGGAAGGCTGTGACAGGACAGGGCTATGCTTGGAAGAACAAAGCTAACAAGGACTTCATCCAATCTTTTCGCTCTCACCCCAGCTATGGTGGTGGGGCCCGGATGGGGTCACCTTGCTGTTCCAGGCTGTGTGACCATGCACTGAACTGGCCAGGATAGTGGCAACAAGGTGCTTTTCTGCACCATGCAGTGGGGGACAGCTGGGTGGTCCCAAGCAGTAACTGCATCAGCTCAGAACAAGAGACAGTTTAGTGCCTTCACCCCAGGGTTTTCTCTAACCGAGGTCTGCACAGCAGAGGAGATGTTAAATTTCCCTCTGTGCACCTGTGGTGCGCTATAAACTTTGTTACACGGCACCTAGAGCCCTGCCTGCTGGCCCGGGGGATGTGAGAGGACAGAGGGAAACATCTCGGGCAAGCTGTCTAGTAAAAAAGGACAGGCACGGGTTACAGAGGAAAGAGAGGTTTCATTAGGGGTGGAAGCCTGCAGTCAGCGCTGGCTCAGGTAAAACTCATCAGCACTGTCAAAACTTGTGTGTCGAAGGCATTCAGCAGCGGCTGGTGTCACAGTGACATGTCCTCTTTGGGAGAGCAGTCCCCAGCTAGCCCAATACATCATGGGATTTTTATGCCTTTATGTAAAAGATGTGGTGTATATATATCGCTGCCAGGGACAGGAGACTGAAGTGGGTGGGCTCTACTTCTGGACTTTTTCTTCATTTCTTTTTCATCATTTTTTGGCAAGTATTTTGTGCTTGGACTGTTTTAGCAACACAAGATGATATTGGTCTGCTCTGGTATGACAATTCCTCTGCTAGAGCGAGATTGACAGATTTGGCCAGAGTACAAAGAGGAGCCTCAGAAATAGCTGGGACCAGGCCAGCAGGATTTACTGGTGGAGGCTCATTCAACTGAGTGAAGTATGTAGCTACTGGCTGTGGGACAAAGCAACTCAGTGCACGTACCCACAGGGGTTGGTGGGCAAAGAGAGCAAGGAATTGTCTAGGGGCACCACAGGACGCGGTAAGTAAGGTCAGCAGGAGAAACAAGGCAGCAAGTGCAGAAAAAAAAAAGTGTCCAGAACTCCTAAATCAGTACGATCTTCCCAGAGATTAGAAAAGGCCTTGGCTGAGGCAGGTAAACCCATGCTATACCAGGGAATGGCCGTCAGCAAACTTGTCTGCGGTGGGGGGGCAGGATAGCACAGGAAAGCCTGGTGCACAGGGGCTTGAGGATCAAGCTGCATCCCAGGAGAGATGTCTTGAGATGACTGCTCATGCCTCTGCAGGTTGTCTGAGAGAGCAAAGGGAGGCAGCGCTCACGTAGGGTGCTCAAGCGAATATCACACGATCTTCTTTGTGCTACCAGCCTCACAGGCCCTGCTCCTTACTGTCACCAGTGCAACAAGACAGGTCGTGACAGTCACTGACAGGTCCCTATTCAGCTCCTGCGAAGATGGGATCTGAACAGAGGAGCTCTTTCTTCTAGCTGGATGGAGCCAGAGCCCAGCTCATCTCACAGGCAGCAGGCTGCATTGAAGTTAGGCCTCACGGCAAGCATGCTGGGCTGAGTAGGGCCCTGCTCAAATGCATTGCATGTGTGGCTGACCCGGACGAGCTCTCTCCCTCCAGCAAGTAAGAGAGGTGCATGCTTAATTCGAAGCACAAATGGGAGTTTTAGGGAAAGCTATGGGGCTGAAGTTTGAGTGCCAGCACCCTGGAGGCCCCACTGGATCCCACCCTCAGGGATCAAAGAAAATAAGAGCAAAGCTGTATATCCTTCACTGCTAAACCATAGAGACCATCTGCCTAAGATTCTCCCAGGGCTGGTCTCCAGGGAGAAACTGCTGATCCCCTATCCCCTTCATCTCATTTCTCTTCCCAACCCCACTAGATGCCCTCCTTGCCCTGTGATGGGGCGGCACTTGGCTCTTCACTGGGAAACACTCTTCCTTTAAGGCTGTAGGGCCGAGCGGAGACTGGGAATTGCATGCGGTGCCCTTTGAGGGCTGCAGCCCAGGCTTGTGGGTGTGTTTCTCCAGGAAGTTCCTGAAGATCCAGTGCTTGGAAAGTGGCCTGTGGGAAGAAGGGCACTGTGTTCCTGTGGTGTGCGAGCCACCCCCGCCGGTCTTCGAGGGGATGTACAACTGTACCCAGGGTTTCGAGCTGGACAGCCAGTGCATCCTGAACTGTGAGCCGCAGAGTGAGAGGGTGAGTAACTTGGGGAGGGACAGAGATTGGCCAAGCGCTATGTTTCAGAGCATCTGAAAACAGGTTACAGCACCACAGAGAGGGGATGTGGGCCGCCAAGATGTGATCATGAAGGACGACGGGCCTTGGTGCTCTTTGAAAGCTAAAGGGAGCAAAAACATTTACTTTGCAAAAGCCTCTTGCAGCCAGACGCACAGTTGTGCTCCTGGGAGCAAGTGCTGGCTTCGCAAAGAGCTTCCAGACAATGTGAAGTGGTTGCGGGACTTTGAGATGACTCTGATCACTAGCCTCAAAGTGCTGCGTAGGAGGTCGCAAGGCTCAGAGGGGCCACAGGCAGCCTCGTGAGAGGGCTGGGCTCTCTGTACTCCCTGCACAGAAGGGCCCCCTGTCAGCTGGGCTCTCCCCTCAGCATTGCAGAGCAGCTGAGTGCCCCTGAGCAGTGGTTAACCTGCAAACCCTGGCGCTCTTCCTGCTCTCGCTCACTGCTTTTGAGCAGTGACCACGACTGTGTGGATACCAACGCCGGCGCAGGGTGCACCCCCAGCTGGGGATGCTCTCTCTCTCCCGGGTAACACTTCCAAAAGGCAGCCATTCATCCTGTCAGCAAGCCTGTCTTAATGAAAAGGTTAGGGAATGTAAGGCGAAGGGCTTCCAGCAGGCTTTGAGAGCAGCTGCTAATGCGTTTGCCTGGGATGACTGGCAACATCACTGCAGCAGACTTGCTGACAAGGGGCTTGCCTGGGGATGGAGGCTGCTGCCTGCCAGGCTCTTCCACCAAAGGTTCACATCCAGCCTGCTGGAAAGGTCTTGTCAAAAGAAGTGCAGTGAATTTCCTCTGGTGGGATCCAACAGCAGCTGGAAAACAATTTGCTTTCTGGTCAATAGTACAAAGTATCCTTAGACTGGACCACATGGGCACAATGCAGGTGCTTTGGAGAATTTTGCTCTGGATTTCACAGGCAGAAGAGGGTCATTTTTCTTTCTGTTACCCCCTGGAGCTGGGCAGCTGGTGTGAAAATATCACTAGTAGCCAGGTCAGGGTGAACCCTGCAGCTGGCTTGTAGTTATGAGGACTGCTCTCTCTTCACTTTCCAGGTTCCCATCATTTGCACTAAGGAAGGCTTATGGACAGAAGAGTTCAAACTGTGCGAGAACTTACAGGGGAACTGCCCGCTGCCCCCGGAGCTGAATTTTGTGGAGTACAAGTGTGAACAGGGGCATGGAATAGGTGAGGACAGATGAAAACTAAACAAGAATGAAACATCGTGGAGTCCTGATCAAAACCCCTTTTCTCTCCTTTAAGTGGACTCTTTGTTGACTCAGTTATGTCTTACCTCCCAGAGAACCAGCTAGAAGGTCATGATGACTATTCTTGCTGTAGCAATCCCCACTAAATTTGTGACAACATTCTGTTTTCTCTTCTGTCCTCTTTCTGAACACAGAGACAGTGGGGTGGCTTTAGCCATATGCATATACTGAGTGTACTCATGGGCAAGCTAAAGCCTAGCAAACGCTGGCTTCAGTGTAAGGATCTGTATTTTCAGAAGGTGTTGGGCAAACCCAGCCCTTTACAGTAATTTTCCCTTCCTCTGGCCCTCCACCCCGCTACGTCTCTCCACTTATTATTGCTGACGCTTGCAGGGTTAATGTGGCAGGTCCTAGACGAATGCCAGAGTGACAGTCACATGTAACAGGGCACTTTCACCAGATGAGGGACCACACCATCCATTTCTTTCTCTGGTTTTAGTACCTCTGTGTTTTCAGGAAAAGCTGCAATTCTCAGTCATAGTCATTACATCTCATTTGGCATCCTGCTGGACTAGACACTTAGGCAAAACCCACATCACTGAAATAAACACAGTGATCATCTGGGTCTGATCAAAACTGGCTGAGGCGAGTCCAAAGGCAGAGCCTGCTAAGTTTAAGCTTTGAACAGCTCTAATGTGAGGTCTGGGACTCACCTGTTTTTCTAGGGTGCTTTTTGCATTTTTTTTTTTCGCATGTCTGTGTTATTTCCTAAGTTCCTAAGACCCTTTACCCTTAGCTATAAGGAGCTAGACATTATGGGATTGACTTAGGTTACAGTAGGGGCAGTTAAACTTGTTTTATTTCTTGATGATGAAGCTCTGGGCTGAGCGGTTTTCCTGCTGTTCTCAGAAGAATGGAAGTGGTGGGCAAATCTGTTGTTCAGGAATTCAGACATCCTGGAAGGTGCCACCATTGTTCCAGAAAGCTAATGGCCATGTTGTTATTTCCAGCTAAGAGCTTAATATAAGAGCCAATAAGTTAAATTCCAGCAGGAGCAGCTTCTGGGTCATAGGAAGGCAGTGGGAATTCAGCTTGGTAGAAAAACAGTGAAAGAAGCTCCCTAACATACCAGCAAACATCCCATAACATCCAGGGCAGTCTTATTTTCATGCTGGACCTGATGTCCTGCTGGATCCTGCTGTAAGTCTTCAAGGCGATGTCTCTCCTCCTACAGGTGCTGTGTGCATACCTTCCTGTATTATCCCCCCCAGTGATCCAGTCATGCTGCCCGAAAATGTAACTGCTGAGACTATGGATCACCGTCTGCAACCCACTCGAGTCCAGGTAAAAGGGGAGGTGCGATGCCTCTAACAGGGCATTCGCTGGCAGTGTTTTGATTCTCTGCTTATGGTTTCCCCATGCCTGCCTTGGGCAAACGTAGAGAAGAGGCCTCAGAATATTTCCACATTAGTCCTCCCTCCTCTCTCCCCAGTGGCAAGCCCTTCGCTTTGGGTGAAGAAGGGTAAAAGTTGAAGAGGAAAGTAGCATAAATGTGGGTGGAGTTTGTCTGGCTGTCTCCAAGGAGCTGCAGAGGCTGCATGCTGTGGAGATACCTGCCAGTTGCTCGTTCTGGCCACCTGTGCTTGAATGTCCACAGGGAGACTGGACTGAGCTCTATGCAGCCAGGGAGAAAGCCTTGCAGAATGTGCAAGCGTTGACCTTAGGCCAGATGAGCACCATCTGTATGGTCAAGAGGGAAACCATCCCCTGGAATGATTGGTGCCTATATCAGCAGGTCCTTCATCAGAGACCTTTTGTTTTTGGAAATGTTAGCCATAGTGTAGCATCTGTATGGCTTTCGGCTCCGATGATAGTCAAATTTCACACCTCTTTCCAGTGGTGAAATCCCTTACTTAAGGGCACATTCCTTCGCCCATCTTGAGCCCTTCTAGGTAAATCCACTTGGCAGTGATGAGGTAGCTGGGTGGCAAAGCCAAGAGGAAGTCTGGAGCTCTGTGCTGAGATACATGTGTCTCATGAATGTCCACCTGGCCTGCAATTTTCCACACCAAATGTTCTCCTTTAGCTAAAATAATTTCTTTCAATTTCAACAAAAATGGTATAGGCTTTCTTAAGGATAAGAGGGCTGAGAAATATTCATGTCTGCCCTTTTTAAGACTAATATATTTCGATATTCAAGCTCTCATTTCCCTAGGCTTTGGGAAGCTCTGGCAAAGTCTTCACAGTGTTGGGGCACATCTCCCCAGGTACATTTCTGTTTATAGGCCTTCATGCAGGGCCAGTGGAGGCTCTAACCGGTCTCTCTGCATTATGCCTGCTTCAGCAGAAGCCACAGGGCTTCAAGATGACTCTTGCTAAGCATGCTGCTCTCCTGATCCAGTTTATAACTAGAGTCCAGTGCCAAGGTCCTCCTCCATCCCCATGACTTCCTTGTTTTCTGTCCCTTCTAGATGCTGCTGCGCAGGTTCCTACTCTGCCATACCTATACCTATTCAACATAAGCTATCAGCTCTCATCTGAGCTCTCAAGGACTTGCAGGCTATGGCGATGAATGAAGTTAAATGCAGGAATCCCACTGATTTTTCAGGACCTAGCGCATGCCTAAATCTCCTACACCGTTGTTGTTGTCAGCCAAAGCGCTAGAAGGGTTGAGTTTGGGAGAAAAAGCCAGCCTTGACACGTGGCACAATGAGAGTTCTGGTCCCCAGTTACCTGGTAGCTGGGATGCAGCCCCAAGCAAACATCTCTCTGCTAAGGAGGAGGCAAAGCACTGTCAGCTGTAAAGTGTCTCTGGCTGCCAGGACCTACTGGCCTGCTGAGTGCCTCCTGCTTCTGGAACTGGGAGCCTTTTCCTCCCCATCTCTTACTCATTTTGTACGCAAAACAGCTCAAATAGCTCAAATAGTTTGGATCTTAACTCCACAACTCTCCCAAAAAGCAGCTCCATCAGGGTAATATTTCTTAAAATAAAAATGAGATGCATAAGGAAGGAGGTGGAACAAAGAAAAGCAAACAATCTTCCTAGGAGCCAGCGCTCCCATCCAAGCACTTTCCCCTCCTCCTGGGAACCCACAGGAGGCCCAGAATTACCAGTGCTTCGTGCCTGTGGATACTACTGTACGTCATATTGAATCAGACCCATGACAGATCACTGTCTGAGGGTGAGGATGCCCGTGGCATGTGGGATTGTTAAGCACGAGCCTTGGAAGGAGGCCTTAAATTTGAGGGATCAGATGGTTTGGCCCATCAAGGCGGTGGCGTTCAGCTTCCCTTTCACCACCGCTGTGGGCTCTCGTGCAAGGGAAGCATTTTGCAGAGAGGAGGAAAGGAGGAGGAGGGAGGAAGGCATTATTTTAAGAAATGGCACTCCTCCTTGCCAGGAGCTCTCTCTGGAATGTCTTGTTTTCATTTTGTCCCCAGCTTCTTCCTCTGCTCTCCCCACTTTTGCTTCTCTAACCAACAATGCTCATGCAGTGCTGGCTGTCTGGGCTTACATATCTGGGGGCTGCTGTGCTCCTGAGGTGACAGGGAGAAGATGAGGCAAACTAGAGCTTATGCTGGCCCCCCTCACAGGGAGCTGTACAGACCACTCTGGGAGGACCACTCATGGTCCTGTTTTGCTTTCAACGCTAATTCATTGTGTCCTGCAGCCAAGCAGGTTTACTCTCTGCCTTAATTTCCCAGTCTGGAGTATGAGTATGCTAAACTGCCATTCAAGTCACACAACAACCGTGTATGAAACATCCTAACAGAGTTAGGATCCAAACATCCTTAGGACTGACTGGGAATTGACTAGCTCAGCCAGCATCCTGGGCCTCTGTCCCATCTGATCGTGGCTTCCCCTGGGTCTGAGTTGCCTACACTCGCTGAGGATGGTGCTGTTAGGCCAGGCTTGCTCCTGGCAACTGGTCAGGCTGCAATAGAGAGTGACTGCAGCAGGAAGAAGCTGAAAAAAACAGCTGAAATGCAAGGGGTCTGAGTGAACAAGCATCTCATATGTCTCCTGACACCTGCAAGGGCATTAGGGAAAAGCATGCTATCAGCATGCCTCCTGGCCACCTTCTATTGTCAGCAAACAAGGGCGTATCAAGCAGATGATAACCCAGCCAGCCAGCTTGCTGCTACCTCACCCTTCACCTGGCTAAATGTGTAAATTGCTGAGCCACATCACTGCCTCAGCAGCCATCAACCGAACGCACAGCTGAAGGCACCCCTTGAATTCAGACCTCCCACTGACTGGAGAGAGCTCCCTCATTCCTGGCTGGCATGATTCGTGGGGATGCTGGAGCCGGGCTGCCTTCCACTGTACTTTTGGAATGTAAGACTAGGGGAAATATACGTGCCCTTCTGTACGATTACTGTTCCGTGAAGGGCATCCTAGGACACTTTCACAGGCCAGCCATCGTTTTATGGGGCCTCAGATTTCAAAGTCTGCCTGCACTTTACAAGAAGGAAATTGTATGTGTGGTGGGGTTTTTCTTCCCCCTGTATAATCATATGTGCTCATAACAATATCCCTTCAGAATTCGTGGGACGAAGAGTTCCATTTAGATGAAACCAAGCCCTTCATATCTTACTCTTGTATCCGGTTGGTTGCAACAGCTGACTTAATGCCTTGTAAATACCAGAGATAACCTCATCCACACATATGAATGTGAGTCTGGTGTATGCACTTCAGACCAGGTCCAGGGACGTTAGTGCCCCAGTGTCCATTGGAGACCTAGTTCTCAGAGCCTGAGCAGGAATCAAGGAGCTCATTGACACAGACATCAAATGACACCTGGTTAGGCCCTACATCTGAAACAAGTGAGAAGCTGCTAAACCAAGCATCATGCAAAGAGGTGAATGGAAGAATCCAGTTTGTTGTAGCCCTGGATGGCTGCTTTCCAGCAACAGCTTGTGGCCAAGATAGCAGGGCACGGCCTCAAGTTAGCCACCCTGGCGCAGCATTGCCAGCCGACCTCAGTTCTCTGGCAATCCCTGTCATCTCCCTTTGTCATTTCCCGTTCGTGTGGCCTCTACCTTGAGCAATGTACCCAGGTTTGTGGGTGAACCATACCCAGTTGCCTCAGGTTTGATGGACTTGAAAGGACTTTCCTCTGGAGAGAGGTGCAGGGAGGGTCCTAGTGTGGTACTGCTGTTTTGCACTATGATGAACAGTGCAGTGATGCGGGAGACACAGCACCTCCAGAGAACGTCCAGGGCTTTTGCACTCGCTCTCCCACCTCACTTGACATTTCTTTTCTCCTTTCCTCTTCAGCATATTGTATGCACGGGCAGGCTGCGATGGTATCCAGACCCCTCCGTCATTCACTGCATCCAATCGTGTGAGGTAAGCCCCCCCCCCCCCCCTTTTCCCAGCATGAGCAGCCTGCTTGTTGTAGGACTACTCCTGGCAATTCAGACTCACTCCGGCACGAAGGTGGAGCTGGATAGCTTTGAGTTAGTGTTCTCTCTGAGCTGGGCCAGGGCTTGCTGGCTGAGCAGAGAGACCAGAACAAGCATACTTGGGAAAGCGCGGCGATGACAAGTTGGATTTTCAGAGCCGCCATATACTGCCAAGACATCACAGAGGGTGGAGGAAACTCCACGGGTACAGGCAGTGCAGGCATGCTGAGCGTTAGAGGGAAAACAGCCAGATCTCAACCAGGGATTTCCAGATACCACAGATTTTCACGTGTGATTCCTGGCACTCTGGCCTCTGACTGCCCACAGCCCATGTGTAATGAAAGAGTAATTAGGCCTGGGGTTAGTAGCACAGACTCCTGAAGCAGATCTGAGCTTCCCTGAAGTTTGAGGATGTTTTAGATCCGAAATTCAATGGGAATGCACTGATTTTTTTTTCCTGAAACTCCTGTTTTGGATGAAAACTAAGAGTCAATTATTTTACTGTACCCTTTATCTCCAACATGCTCGGTGTCAGTTAGATGGGCATGTAATCCTGCAGTCCACGTGCAAAGCTAACAGACAAATGCAAATGGATGACATAAAGGAATGATTTGTTCAAAGGTAAAGATAGTCTCCCACTCAAACCCATCTGTGGGCCTGAGTCCTGCAGGAAGGGATTGGATCACTAATTAGTTGGTGGAGAGGAACATGGATGAGGGCTCAGCAGGGCATTAATGCCTTGGAAAGTGGCACGATGGTGAATGCCATTTCCATATCTCGCTCTGAGTGTACAGTACAGCAACCAGGATGAAGCTGGGGAATGAGATTGCAATGCACTGCTAAGCTGCAGAATTGGGCCAGGTCCTTATAACATATTTCCTTGCTTGTGCGCTTCTTCCTGGCTGACTCAGGAAGAATGTTCTAGCAAAGGATTTCACTGGCAAGGGGTATCCCCAAAAAGTGTGTGCTGACTCCAAGCCTGAATATTTCCTTAACCAGAACCACAGTTCTAGAGTAATACTGATCCAGAAAAGCCCTGTGTGGTTCACACATCCAATCAAAACAACTAGGATTTCCAGCATCGTATATGCAAAACAAACCGCTCCTGAAGAATCTGCAGACGAAGAATTCTTTGCAGAAATTGGTTAGCCACTCATTTCATTTTGAATAATGACCAGGCACGAGAAAATAATAGGCAGCTTGGAGTCAGTTTGCAAAGGAAAGAAAAAACAGGCAGTCTTTGTCAAACACTATTTGTTATTATGATTGAGGGTAAAAAGAAAAGGGGAGGGGAATTTTGGAATGTTGTATGCTGAAACTTTGGGATTTTTACCAAAAAGGAAAATGTAAATGAAGTTTGCACACCAAAAATAGCACTGGGTTTTGCTGATATATTTTTTGACACGCTTCTTTCACTGCAAATGATCGGTTTTGCTCACCAGTTCTCCCCAGCTCCGCTCTTTGTCGACTGAAGTGAGGGTGAAAGGGCAATGTCTATGACCACATGTGATTGTGTGGTTTGAATTTTGCAAGGGGCAGGGGGCATGTCCCCAGGAAGAAAGTTTTATGGTCCAGGAGAACATGCAGCAGAGTTATTGCCCAGCTTCAATGGATGTATTGTATGTGTCCACTGTAATCCACGGGCTCCAAGCATAGGGAAATAGTCTGCTGTGTGCTATAGACATTTCGTGGTTGATTCTAGAGCTTAGCAATGGATCCTCCATGTCATGGGAACACTGCATCTTTCTAAAGCATATCCTTTAATGAGTTAAAAGTGTCCTAGGATGCCCTTCAGCTCCAGGGCAATGGATTTGAAGCAGGACAGGCTTATGTGGAAGAAGAGACCAGATGGTTGTAGTGACCTTCTCTGCGGCTCTCCTGCTAGTGAGCAGGTCAAACTGAATGAACAGAGATGCCTGTTTAGGTGACAGGTTACTCCCCCACGTATCTTTTGTTCTCTGTGAGTTGGTCCTTCCAAAAAAGAAGCAGGCTTTATGTGGTGTGTTCCTTCCTCCCTTCCCATACGGCTCAGGTGAGACAAAGAAGACACATCCTCTGGATGCTCCTTTAGACACAGATCCAGTGGACCTACCTTAGCCCCTCTTCTGTGGTTTCTGCACCTCAGCTTGAATCTGTGTCTCCAGCAAGAAGCCCCATATGAAATGATGAAAAAAAGCCAGATTTTGTGTGTGTGTGTGTGTGTGTGAAAGAGAGAGGGACCAACCACGTGAAATCCCAGCACCTTACAGTGTCACTATCTTGTCATTAGCCACCTCAACACACTCATGGCCAACACAAGCTCTTTCTGTTCCTATGTGCTTGTCATCCCCATCTACTTTTAGAAAACAGTCATAGACAACTGTTCCCACAGCCTATGGGAAGTTAAGGAAGGTAAAATCTTGCAACGTCCTAACAGAAGATGAGGAATCCAAGCTCTTCATCACCCTTTCTGAGGCTTTTTTTTCACCTTTTCTGCTTTCCATTAGTCTATCAGCAAGAATGACCAAGAAATACACAAAGCCTCCTTGTTCTGGAAATCTCTCTTTTGACAGGACCTAGGAATGTATCTGTCATTTCTGCAGTTGCATCAGCTTGGCAGCTCAGAGAGATCCTGAGGTCAGCAAGTACACCAAGATCTTTCTCTCCCTCTTTTATTTCCAGCTGATGAGCTCCAAGCTAACAGCAGATGTTTTACTATCAGTACTCCAGAGCTTGCCCTTCAGTTTTATACAAATGAATGTCATCCTGTTTCTCTCCCTAGTCCTTCAGGTCAACTAATGATTTGTCAGATATCCTGATCCTCCACTGTGGAACAACGTCTCTTTTCTTTGGCTCGTGAGCAGTTTCATCAGCACAGACCTACTCTTAAGATCAGAGCCAATCACCATAATGCTAATCAAGATCAAGCTTCAGATTGTTCCTTCCAGCCTGATCCTTCCTTTTTTGAAAAAGCCCACAGCCACCTCCTCCCTGTTCTCCTCCTCCTCCCTTCTCACATGTATGTCTTTGATTATTCCTTTCATTAGGATTTTTTTCTACAATCTTGCATGTTATTCAGGTTGGCCAAAAAAGCCAAGTTTTGCCAGATGACTTCCCCTCTTTTTTGTTTTATCATGGGCTTTACAGTAGTCATTCTCTGGCCGTAAGGAATAACTCATACCAAAACTAACTCATTTGAAGTATTGCACTTGGAGCTGCTGTTTGGCACTGCGGAGAAGGGAGGTATTACCAGTTCCCCAGATCTGACCACAGGAAATGCCCTGAATTTTGTTTCCACCTCATCTGTGCTCACTTCTGTCCCCATACCCTCATTCCTCTAGCTATCCTGCCTTTCTCCTTGTGACCAAAAGCATGGCAGTTCTTGAAAGCCATTTCATTTAGGCGCCAATCTCTTGGGGGATGTGGGGACATCAGACAGTTAGAGTAGGGTATAGAGAAGGCATGGACTATAACCTCTAATCTGTTCTTGCTGCCTGAGCCTCCCCCATCTCCTTTCCTTGTTCTCTTCTTCCTTTATTTGCATGAGGAATGTTTTGCTTTAATAGCCCCTGCTGGATCTGGCTTGGTTCAGCTTAACTAGCCAGCTGTGCCTCTTAGTCCCAGATTCACAGTCCCTCATTTCACATTAATCCCTCAGTGGATGCAGTCTCTGCTATGCAGTGGTCAGAGAAACACTGCTCCAATGGACTATCCAGGTCACCTAAGGTCTGAGTCACCCTTTGGAGATGCTATTGTCTCTCCAGTGACAGCAGAGAGCATGTTGGATGAGGAAGCTTTCTCATCTGGACACCTCGGTTAGGGGAACAACCCTGGGTAAGCGAAATCCAGGCCTCCTGGCTCCTCTTACAGTCTCTCCCTGGAGGAGTCACTTCAGGCTGGGGTATGGGAGCACTAGCCAAGCTCAGCCTCCGACCTACCCAGCCCCAGATGGAGCCCTGCCTCACAAATCTCCTGCTGGAAATTTCAGGTCACTGTGCAATGACATGAGATGAATTCTAACTCATCTTTATCGTACACTGGCGGTGGATCAGTCTGCCTGCTCATCTCTTTCTCTCTGCTCTCCCCACCTCCCTTCTCTTTCCATTAATCTTGTCGTCCATCTGCCTCCCGATCTCTCGTTATGCTTTGCCAAGTTCCCCATTCCCGGAGCGCGGAGGCACGTAGTTCAGCGGATGAGGGAGGGAGGGATGAAAAGCATTCCAGAAGCTCGTCAGGAATACGAGTTAGTGCCGAGTGTGTTTCATGTCTCAACGGCCAGCGGAACATCTCATCCCATGCCATCAATAGAAAAACAGATGGCAGCAAGGGGGGGGGGGGTGAAAGGAGAGGACATGCAGAGAGGACTTGGTGCTGGAGGGAGAGGGGAATGGAGGAGAAGAGAAACCCCCTTCTCCCTCCCTAAGATCTGGTGTTCTTATGATCTTGGTGTTCTGCTCAGCAGCTTAAGAAGGTGTTTGCAACCTCTGAGGCAGAGTGTCCCAAGCCCAGTATGTGATGAGCTTTCATCCACACTCCTCCCATGCCCAAGAGCAAGGGATAGCTGAAGTGAGGCTGTTGCCTGCAGAGGAGGAAGGAGAGAGGATGTGCAGAGATCCAGGCTACAAGTTATTGCAGGCTGCTCCCTTAGCCTGTTTGTGCCATAATCCAAAATGGTCCCTGTCTGCTACAGTGCCTCTCCTAGGCTGTGTCACAGGCTGGAGCTCTGTATTCCCATTTCTTCCACCGTAGGGGCTCCTCTCTTCTTACGCTGTGGCTGTGGTTTAGGTAATGAAGATGGCTTATTTCATCATCATAATATTTACCTGGTGTTACTCACAGGATGGAGTAACTATCGCCATCCTGCTCCGACAGAGCAAGGAACACAGGCTTCTTTTGAAGCGATCAAAGTAGATATGGGCAAGCTATTCTGGGAAGCCAGTATGTTCTGCAGGACGCTGGCCCTCA